GGATTTGAAAGAGTCAACATAGTTGGATTAGATTGTGATTGATACCTCCACTCAAAATATGCACCACATCTTACATTTGTTTCAGATTTCAGCCAATCTATGATTTCCTTTGTTGCCAATAAGAATGGAAACACACATCAAAGAAAGTCACGTTTTCAAGACTTGCTAAAGGAACCATTGGCAACCAATGGAATGAGAATTGTTGCAAATCAAACATTGGCAGCAGGGGTTCTGGACTAACATTTAATCTCACTCTGAATGAATCATCAAGCTCTGGAGGTGCAGATATCGGGCCCATAGAGCAGGTTTAAGATGAGAAAACAGATTTAAGGTCAAATCAGAGAGGATAGCTTTGTAATAAAACGAAATTTCCTTCTTATTCACTTGTGAAAGTACAGAGCATATTGCTTCTGAACATAGATTTTTTTTTCTCAATCTAGTTACATCTTTGACTAATCGAATATCGTGACTGGAAATTCTTCAGTGGTTCATCAGAAATTCAGAAGTACATATTTCTGACTTTTGCATAGATAAAGGATTCTTAAATCATTTCTTTGTATCCATTCTGCAAAATAATGAAAGCTCCTCATTTTTTTGAGTTCTCATACATACACATAGCTGAATTAACAATACTGTGGCCTCCATCAACCACAAGGTTGTGCCCACTGACATATTTGGAGTCATCACTTGCCAAGTAAAGAGCTGCATCAGCTACATCTTCTGCCTTCAGTTCTGCACCATCCAGATACGTATATACTTTAGAAACTCCACCATAGATTCTTTCGACGAAATCAGCTGCCGAAGGCGTGGAAACAAAGTAGGGCGACAGACAGTTCACGCGAATGCCATATCGTCCGAGATCAACAGCAGTATTTCTTGTTAGGCCTACCACAGCATGCTTTGAACTCACGTAAGCATGAGGAGCACCTCCGCCAAGGGTAGAACATACACTTGCGGTATTTATTATACTGCCACAGCGATTAGGAATCATCACTCTTGCAGCATGTTTTGCGCCTAAAAATATACCTACAAGGTTTACACTGATTACGCGTTCAAAATCAGATTTTTTATCGTCAAGAATGTTGGATGTGCGTGATCCCCCTATACCAGCATTGTTGAACATGATGTCTAGCTTCCCATACTTAGAAACAGCAGTGTTCACTGCATTTTCTATATCAGATTCTTGAGTTACATCACAGTGAACATGTGAAGCTGATGAAGGATCCAAATCTTGGCATACTTTCTGGGCCAAATCATCTTGAATGTCAGCAACGACTACTTTCGCTCCATGTTTGACAAAAAGTCTAGCGGCGGACTCACCAATACCACTAGCAGCACCAGTTATCAGTGCAACCTTGCCTTGAAGCCTAGAGCAAGAAATACATGTTACTATTTGCAAATATCTTTAAAAACCCACCCAGAAAATATCACAGAAAACAGAAAGAAGAAGTTTCATGTTGGATTGATTAGAAGTAAAACTTTGGAAAGATGATCAAATTCAATTACTAGAAATGACTTGCAAGTGCTTACCTTTTCATAACATTTGAGGCGACTGCCATGTTTGCCATGGTACTAATGTCAGTGTTTGTCTATGTAGTACTATTAATTCCCATATGAGCCATGATGATGAGGCTTATATAGTCACAAAACAATTGCAACAGGTATGTAAGTAATCAGGAGATGAAAAGAAGTGGTTATGGATTGGACGGCAAAGGCTAATTAAATTAATTTATAAGCGTGCTAGATGTGTTCATTTTCAAATCTTCAACAGCTATTACGATTGCATGGATCGTACTGAATTGACTGTGGATATGTCATTCTCATAGTTTTCCTCATAGTTTTTAGTCTATGCCAATGAACATAAACGTATACTAATTTAAGAGCAGCCTTTTACGACCTGGCCAGTTTCTCTGAGCTGCAGACTGAGCTGAGGTGTGCTTTTACTGAAGCTGATGTACAAATTTTAACTCAACAGATTTAGGCCCCGTTTTGGTAAGTGAGTCTCTTGTGTGTTTGTCTAAAATTTTATTGTAATTTATTGTAGAAATTTTTAAAAAAATTTTTGAAGTGTATAAATTTTTGAATATTTTAAAATGTATAGTTTAAAAATTTTGAGAGATTTTTTGAGGTTACTATAGTTAAAGTTTTTAAACAACTTGTAGCAGACAAACTTGGCAAAAAACTTGTCTGTCAAACAAGGCCTTAGTTTCTCAAGTGAAAAGGGTAAAAAAAAAGGGAAATAAAAAACACTGTAGAGAGTTTCTTTTTATGGGTTCTAGATATTGATAGAAATTGAATAAGGATGTAGAAAGTCGTGAGAATAAAATATGACATTGTGAGTGTGTCTCTGCGTGAATATATGTTGTAAAGTAGAAGTCTTGAAGGAGATGCTAGGGAAAGATGTTCTTTTGAAGAAAATGAAATACTAAATGAATAGATAGTTTTCAATTCTAGACAAGCTGACGTACTAGATCAAGTGGTTGAAAAAGAAAAATACTATGTGAACAAATAGTTGTTTAATTCTAAAGTGGTTCAATATTACTCTATAATAACAAAGGAATACAAATCTAATTGTAATTCAAAGCTAGAATTTTGCGTTAGGTTCATGTAAATTTGTATCCAATTAAGATGACTTCTCTACTTGTGCATTGTGTTAGTAAGGATTTCTAGGACAGTTTGTTTTTCCCTTGCTAAAAAAATAAAAACTATTTGGTTCTCAAAATTAGTTTGTTAAGTAAATCAATTTATATTAACGGAATAAATACAAGTCTGTGTTAAACTTTACGATGACCTGCAATGGGTGCTTTTTTCCGGTCAAATACAAATGTCTTAGTCTACGCCAAATGAACATGATGTTAGGCTAATCTAACGTGTTCCTTAATGGCTTTGCCGATCTGGTCAGTGTTTCTGGGCTGCTGATGGAGGAAAACATGAAGAAGAAAGGTACAAATAAGACTGAAAGCTAAAAGTGGACCCAATTATTCGATATTTGAATTGGCTTTGCCTTGATAAGAGTTTGTTCGAGTTTAGTTCACCAATTAATCAAACTAAAATTGAACAACGTTTTATGTTTGAGAACATTCAAATTCAATATAAAAGGTCGTTCAAATTTGGTTCGATAAATAAATAAGACAAGTTTGAATAAAATTTCAAATTCGTTAAATTAGCTGAACAAGTTTGAACACACGAGTGTTCGATTTGATTAGACTCATTTACACGCCTACAATTAAGAAAAGATATGATTAGTGCAATTGATATTTGCTTTTAGCCTATTAGCGAACCTGATAGTGCAATCTGAAATTTTTTTTTTTGTTTTACAGATTTTGATGCATAATTTTAACGTGGCGTTGGTCTCATACTCACATACAAAGTTAGTGTACATGAACAAAATTCACAAGTGCCATATGATAAAATTCACGAGTACCATATCGCAGAATTGGACATCAAAGCACAAACCGCAAGTGGCAAGTTTTTGAAGTCATTTTCACCCATTTCGGTCCTATTACGACAAGAATATTTGACCTTTTGAGCCAAGTCGATAGTCAAAAGTCAGAGTTTATATCTATAAAAGTATGAATAGTCTATAGGTAAGTGGAATCCAAACAAATTTTGTCTTAGTTTTGACCAAAGCACTCTTTTCTCAAATAATTAGGGTTATTTCATTTTAGTTATGGTACTAATTAAATGGATGAAACATCAGAAATTGATTCGATAATATTAGTAATTAAAATGAAACATTACCAATTGATTAAATAACTGTAGTAATTAAGATGAGAATTTTTGTCATTTAAAACTATTTATCAACTTTTATACTCCATTTTCAATTATCTCTTGTGCCTAAAATTTATTGTTTAAAGCCAATGAGAAAATCTTAAATAACCACAATTTAATATTGTCGTATATTAATGCCAAAATACAAAACTCTTAGCACAAATAAAAACCATGCAAGGAAAAAAAATCCTTTATTGTCTTGAAAAATCTTTATAAAAAGATCATGAGTCCTGTACTTTTATATAAACATGAAAAAAAGGACAACAGAAATTCCACGGACTATTTATATCCTTATCAACCACAATAGTACTCATATAAAGAGCAAATAGGAGGGTATGGAAGGATGGGTTAGATGATTTGGGAGAAGAGAGTATAAGTGAGAAATTCATAGTCGAGTCCTCCACTTACACTACAAAAAGCAAATAGTCCGTGCTCTATGAACATTGCCTCTCAATTTTGTGATTTAAGTTCATCATAAGAAAAGAAAATTGACATGACAAACAACAAAAGGAAAAAAGAAACAAATGAAAAATAATTTAGTTTTAATTGAGATTATGGTTGAGCTTAGCCATATCCAATCAAATAACGAAAAATGTTCAAATACTTCACCAGTAAACAAGTAACCAATTCTATTTCATTGCCATAATTTTTCCTTCGAGAACAAAAGGGATAAATTTGATGTATATGTATTCAAAATAAATATATATATATAACAATTAATTAACCAAATTAAATAAGAAAATAGTTCCACAGTTAAAAAGAAAATATGAACAATTAGCTAGAAATAATTAAATGTGGTACATCATCAACACCCCTCTAAAAATTATTTTTATAATTAATCTTTACTTTACTATGTTCATCAATTTTGTTTGTCACTCCCAACTCCACATGTGCATGTACATTTCTCGTGGAGAATCAATACTTGTACGTTAAAGTATGAGTCATGATTTATCTGGAAAGAAGTAAAAAAAAAAAAAAAAAAGGTTCAAAAAAATTCCCATATAAAAGTTCAAAATTTTAAAATGTTTTTACAATAATTGATTAAATGAACTGAAATGTATAAGAATTATTCTTTCTAAAACTAATCAAAATTTCACAAAGAATTTTAATATCTCAAAAGTGCTATACTTTGAATTAATACAATCATGTACAAAGCGCATGAGATATTGCCAGTAATCATAAGTTGCCTGCGAATGTGCACCACACATTCTCATTTGATATCCGAAAGTGAGGCAATCCTAAAATTGTCATTGTCACATGGAAAATAAGGGATTAATAAACAAAGATATATTTTTTGAAAGGAGCTATCTGTTTTACATCTACTACAATTCTGTACAGCCCTGTACATTTGTCTATATAGACAGCTGAGAATATACGCTAGTAGGAATCTATTCTAATGGTAATGCAAGCTTCTTGATCTATCTATTACCTCCATAAAGTTGAAGGACATGTACGTACATGCATCCCAGTTTCTATACAGACTATTTTACAGGAGCTCCTTTGTACAAAGAAAGTGCTGCAATTGCTTTTCAGGAACTATCCAACTTGCACATACAAGAAGAGCACAGCCAGGATTATGAGAGCGATGAAGAATATGGATAAACGCTCAGACCCCACGTTAGAGAATAATCTAACCAACAATTTTGGCGGCTGCTGCAAATCTGCGTGACTGACGAGCTTGGGAGGGAGGTAAGCTTTGTCGACTCTGTACCTGTTAAGTGGATGAGCTTCATTGTCTTCAAGTTTTTGCCTTCCCAATCTGAGCCTTCGATTTGCTGTGCCCTGGAAAGGAAGACTACAGGATGGGGTATCTTCGGCTGGCTGCTTAGACTTTTTCTGCGACTCAGGTTCTGGTGCAACCGTTTGCAGGTGTTGTGGACGCGTAGATTGCAGAATCATCTAGCTGGATGATATCATCTTTCATAATGTCAGCAAAATAATCTTCTTCAATGCTGTCACAATCCTGAATCTCAAAGATACAGATAGCTAATAAGGGTCTTGAAGACTGAATAAGCATCTGGGCATCAATTAAAATAAAAATAAACATACTGCTAATGGAATAGCTCTTTTTTCTAGTGCTTTATCAGCATATGACACCGACTGAAATTTCGACCAGTTAAACAATGATATTATAGGGACCCGAGAGTAGTGTATTATATTATAGGGACCAGTTAAACAACTGAAATTTCGACCAGTTAAACAATGATATTATAGGGACCCGAGAGTAGTGTTATATGTAACACAGAACAAACAATCCATTTATTGTGGTATAAATCACTAGATGCATCCCTCAGCCAAAAAAACATGCAACAGCATACCTTCTGGTGGCTGGAAGACGCATAAGGAGACAATTCGTTGGGTACTTTATCATCACATTCAAATCCAGATTCAATCTGCTCAGTTGAATGCGAATTGTTGCTGCTACTACATTCCTTTGACCAGCAGTCGCCTAACATGGCTCCTTCAGAAGCATCAGTTTGCTCAATTCCGGATGAAGCAGTAGCATTGTTGTTTGCAGCTGATGGATGTCTGCCTTCTTGAGGTTTCCTTCGCGGTGAGTCGTCTAAATGGAACTCAGTGTTCTTTCTAAGGCGCCACACAACCATGAAATCTGTCAGGTTCTGAGATTTAGCCACCGGAGTATTGGCCGGAATGCAAAGAGAAAAAGAGAACGGAAATTGAGAAAGAAAAAGAGAGAAAAGAGAGAGAATAACAGAAAAGAAAAGAGAGAGAAAGGAAAGAGAATGTCTGTTCTGCAAATTTACCCAACAACCTTCAGTTACAATTTTATTTCTAATGAACTGCAATTAAGGACTAATTGTCAACTTAAGTCAACGACGTAGTTTCCATCCTCTATACTTATACTCAAAACGAACATCGTTATGAATAAAATGTCAACCATTTTCTTCTATTAGTGAAGTTCCGGACAATCCCTTCCCTTAAGCAAAGCTTGTCCTCAAGCTTGGAAATCTGGAAACTGCTTCTCAATGAAGTCTTTGTCCTCCCAGGATGATTCTGACTCCGGTAAATGATTCCATTGCACCAAGTATTGAACAACGACCTGAAAGTGGCGCATGGTTGCTCTCCTTTTAAGAACTTTCTTAGGCTTAAGCAAACATTGACTCGCTGTATCCAATGCTGGTAAAATGGGCTCAACAGATTGAACATTCCCCACCTTCTTTTTTAGCAAGGAAATATGGAATACAGGGTGAATCCAAACTCCTTCCGGTAACAGTAATTTGTAGGCCACTACTCCCATCTTTGCAATCACTTGGAAGGGTCCAAAATACTTAGCAGTGAGTTTTAGTCTCTTTCTAATGGCTACGGTTTGCTGCCTATAAGGCTGCAATTTAAGGAACACCCAATCGCCCACTTGTAGAGTTCATTCAGTCCTGTGTCTGTCCGTGAAATGTTTCATGCGATTCTGAGCCTTGGCGAGATTCTCTTTGATGAGGGATATAACTTGGAGCCTATCCTATACCATGCTAACTGCAGCAGGTATGACACTATCATGGAAAGGTCCCAATCGAATATGGTTTGGTTTGTATTCATATAGTGCTTAGAATGGTGTGACTTGCAAGCTAGTATGAAAATTAATATTATACCAAAGCTCAGCTGCAGGCAACTAGCTACTCCAATGAGAGGGATGCTCACTGCACATGCATATGAGGTAATTCTCCAGGCACTGATTTACTTTCTCACTCTGACCATCAGATTGAGAGTGGTAGGAAGAACTGTAGTGCAGGCCTATTCCCAACAAATTGAATAGTTCTTGCCAAAATCTGCTAATGAAAATTTTGTCTCTGTCAGAAATTATTGATTATGGCAAACCATGTAGTTTATACATATTGTCAAGGAAAACACGAGCTATCTGCTGTGCAGTATATAGATGTGTGAGCCTTATAAAATGACTAAACTTGGTTAATCGATCTACCACCACCAAAATAGTGCCAAAACCATGAGATAAGGGAAGCTACTCAATGAAATCCATAGATATATGCGACCAAGCCTGTTGAGGTATTGGAATAGGTTGTAAAAGTCCAGGGTAAGGAACATTTTCATGTTTGCTCCTTTGACAAACATCACATGATCGTACAAACTAAATGACATCCTATTTAATTCCAAGCCAGTAGAATAGAGTCTGTATCCCGTGTAAACATCCCTTTGTCCAGAATGTCCTCCCACTGCTGAGCCATGCAAGGCTTTGATCAGGTTGTTTCTGATATTGTTAGCAAACCCCACGTACAGTCTTTCTTTGAATTTAAGCATCCTCTTATCCAAGTGATAATCTGAGTCTTCATTAGGGTCCAACAATAGCTGAGCTATTTTCTATTGAGCTTCTACATCCCCATTATAGCTCTCAATAAGCTCCTGCATCCAAGCTGGTTGCACTGTGGAAATGGCACACATGTGGTGTGTTGTTGCATTGCTATCACCGATTTCTTCTAGATAGGACATCAACCACTCCATTGTCTGATCCTTTCTTGTACTGTATCTCATAGTCTAGCCCCAACAATTTGGTGAGCCACTTGTGTTGCAGTGGATGTTTAAGCCCTAATGACAAAGTGATGGCCAACCAGGTAATGCTTCCATTTAGACTATTTAGTTACAGCTAGCACCAGGGCAAATAGCTCATTTTCATACACAAATAATCCTAGGTTCTGATTTGACAAAGCATTGCTAAGGAATGCTATAAGGTGTCCTTGCTGCATCAGTACTGCTCCAATACCTACTTCACAAGCATCTGTTTCTATTACAAAAGGAAGATCAAAATCTGGCATGCTTAGCACTGGTGCTGTAGTCATAGCTTTTTTGAGGTCTTCAAAAGCTATATGAGCATTGTAGTTCTATATAAAACTCTTCTTCTTGAGTAGCTAAGTTAGAAGCTTACAAATCACCCCATACCCCTTAATGAACCTTCTGTAATACTCAGTCAACCCCAAAAAACCCCTCAATTCTTTGACTGTGCTAGGGGTAGGCCAAATCCTTATGCATTCTACTTTGGCTAAGTCCATGCTTACCCTAACATCAGAGATCACATGCCCTAGGTACTTTGTGGATGTTTTAGCAAATGAGCATTTGGATCTCTTGCAGTATAGTTGGTTATCAGCCAAAATTCTGAGTACAGTTTGTAAATGTTGTGCATGAAGCTCTAAGGTGGGGCTGTAAACCAGGATGTCATAAAAAAAACCAATACAAACTTCCTCAAAAATGGCTGAAATATTCTATTCATCAAGGCCTGAAAGGTAGCTGGTGCATTTGTCAGCCCAAATGGCATTACCAGAAATTCAAAATGCCCATGATATGTTTGAAAGGCAGTCTTGTGAATGTCTACTATTTTAACCCTCAGTTGATGGTAACTAGTCCTGAGGTCTAGTTTGGACATATACTTTGTGCCATGCAATTCATCTAGTAATTCATCAATATTTGGGATGGGAAACCTATCTTTAACTGTCAGCTCATTCCGTTTTCTGTAGTCTATACATAACCTCCAAGAATTATCTTTCTTCTTAACCAATAATACAGGTGAGGCAAAGGGACTTGTACTGTGTATAATGATCCCATTGGTAAGCATCTCATCAACCTGTTTCTCAATTTCTGCTTTATGGGAGTGAGGGTACCTGTATGGTTTGAGTTTAAAGGGTTCAGCTCTTGGTTTAAGAATAATCTGGTGATCCAATTCCCTTTTTGGAGGTAGGCCTTTTAGAGTAGCAAACACCTATGAATGCTGTTATAGTACCCTTTCTATAGACTCGGGAATATTCTTCTCTTGATCCTGTTTGAATTCTGCCTGTAGTGTTGCACAGTTTCTTTGCTTCTCCTGAATGAAAGTTCTGGGATCTCTGCCTCTCACTAGCTCCATTGCAGGCTGATTAATGAAGCCTTGAAGGTGAAGTAATTCCCCTTACTACTGAGAGCAATGCTGCGAGTGTGAAAGTCGAAAGTAATAGGATTGAATTGATACATCCAATCCACACCCAGGATGATATCCCATCCTCCCAACTCCATTACCTTCAAATCAAACTGGAACTGGTAATCTTGTATCAGCCACGCCACCTTAGGACAAACTGCTCCACTGGTTATGTCCGTCCCATCTGCCAAGGTCACAATGAAGGGACTTATAGATTGATAGGGCAAATGTAGTAGATTGACAAGCCTGTGATGAATGAAGCTATCAGAGCTCCCTGTGTCAACTAGGATCTTAACTGGTAAGCCTCCCATATTACCCATCAACAAAATTGACTTCCTCTTTATGGCACCAGACAAAGCATTCAAGGACACCTCTGCAAGTTCACCTACTCTGCCTGTGTGTTCATCTTGCTCCCCCACTACATCCTCAAAGTCAGCCTCTTCCTCCTCCTCAATACCTAAACAGTTCAAATTCCCTGATTTACGCTGATGCCCCATTCCAAACCTCTCCCCACACCTGTCGCACAGATTATGTTTACGTCTGTACTGCAATTCTTCAGCTGAGATTCTCCCAATCTCCTTGTGTACATACTCAGTCTTCTTGGTATTTGGGGCAATTGCAGGAAGCTTGTATGAATTAGAATGGCTCGGACCATTGGCATGACTCTTATACATCTCAAATTTAGGTTCTACTGCAACCTTTCCAATGGTTTCGATTGTTTAGACTGAATTTCCAAGGCATATTCTTGTAATTCAGCCACTTCAAAGGCCTTTGGTAGGGATTGTGGTTTGAACATCTTCATCATAGGTTTGATTTCATCCTTCAAGCCACTAATAAAACCAAAAACGAAATATGGCTCATCTAGTCTGGGATTCCTAGTCAGCATTAATGTTTTTAGTTCTTCAAATTTTTCCTCATATTCATCGACTGTCCCTTTTTGTTGCAATTTATTAAACTCTTCTACTATGTCAAGAGATTATTTTCCAGAAAACCTTTCACACAACAGTTCACTAAATTCTTCCCAAGATAACCCAGGCCTGGCTAGTTTCATCCCTTGGAATCAATTATCAGCTTTTCCTTCCAAAAACATTTCAACCAAATCTACCTTTTGGTTCACGGGTATTTGATAGTTCAAGAAATATTTCTGACATTTTCTTAGCCATTCTCTAGGGCTACCAGAAGAAAACATAGGTAACTCCAACCTTGGCAAATTAGGTACAAACATTTTACCTTTGGTTTCATGTGGGTGACCTGCCAACTCATTTGGAGTCATCAGTTTCAGATGTGCGGGCGGGGTTGGTAGCAGTGGATCTGGAGCCCTCCGTCATTGTCCTGAAGTCCTTTCTCCTTCATCATCACCTTCAACAGTGCGTTGAACTTTTGCTCCATCTTGCTGAATTTCTGATCCAGATTCCCTACTATTGCCTCCAATCTGGAGTTATTGTGCTCCATTTCGTAGTGGAGTTTTTCCTGCAACTCGTTTTGTCCCGAAGTCTGAATTGTGGTCACGGTCTCTGCTATTTCTTGTGGTCTACTCTCCTGTTTCTTAAGTTGGTCTTCCAGTGATCGATATCTAGTATTTTTTGCCATGACGATATCTCAGTAGCCAAGGATCAGCAGCTCTGATACCAAATGTCAGGTTCTGAGATTTAGCCACTGGAGTATTGGCCGAAATCCAAAGAGAAAAAGAGAACGGAAATTGAGAAAGAAGAAGAAAAGAGAGAGAAAGGGAAGAGAATGTCTGCTCTGCAAATTTACCCAACAACCTTGGGTTACAAAAGGAGGGCTATTTATGCAATTATTTCTAACAAACTGCAATTAAGGACTAACTGTCAACTTAAGTCCAACGACGTAGTTTCCATCCTTTACTACTTACACTCAAAACGCACATCTTTATGAATAAAGCGTCAACTCTTTTCTTCTTATTAATGAAGTTCCTGACAAATCCCGCACCAAGAAAGAAGAAACCCATATTATATTTAAGGTGCTTCATCCTATAAAAGCTACTTAATAACTAAGGCAATCAGGAAAAAATGCTACATCAAAAGCACCATTTAACCTGTGACTTTCCACTCATGCAATATTCGTGCATTATCCATTCGGTCCTTTGTCCTTTTGGTGCCCTACCATTGTGAAACACCGAGGTTCTCTTTGTGCCAATTATAGTCGAACCTGACTTTATTATGAGCCCACATTCCTCATGGCAGACAAATCTAGAGTAAACAGCTACGTGTAAATTTCCACTAATCATGAGTGTTGAACCTTAAGAATGGGCCCAAAAAAAATTTCTTGCAAAATTTTCTAAGCTCTCTTTTTCTTTATTTTTCTATGAATACAATCTAAGGCTCAAATCTAGCACTCAATCACCCAGAATTTGTAGTATTTAAATATCACTTTTTTTTTTTTTTGTGGATAGTTGAATTGTCGTGAAGAGTTGGCAAAGAATAGAATTGGTCTAAAGAGTGTTTGGTGGCTTTTGCTAGGTTTGCTTTTTATTTATTGTTTCTTTGTTGTCGATGGTTTGTTTGGTTGTTGGTTAGTAGGAGATGTATATCAGATTCTTGAGTTACATCACAACGAATTAATGAAGTTGAAGAAGGATCCAAATCTTGGCATACTTTTATCAGCCAAATCACCTCGAATGTCAGCAAGGACTACTTCTGCTCCATGTTTAGCAAAAAGTCTAGCAGCGGACTCGCCAATTCCACTAGCTGCACCAGTGACCAAACCAACCTTGTCTTCAAGCCTGGAGCAAGAAATACAAGTTTTATCACTATATCCAGATATCTAACCCCAGAAAATATAACAGAAAACAGAGAGCAGAAGAAATTTCATGTTGAATTGGTTGTAACTAAACTTAGCAAAGATGATCAGATGCAATCACTGTTTAAACGATGGGTAAGTGCTTTACCTTCTCAAAATATTTGAGGCCATTGACATGCCAGCCATGGCACTAATGCTAGTGCTGCCTTTGGAGTAGTACTACTAGTTCTCATGTGAGCCATGACGAGGCTTATATATATAGTTGCAAAATAATTGCAAGAATTATGTAAATGGTCTCAAGATGGTAAAGAAGTAGGGTCTAAATCAAGCCCCAAAGTGATTATTGATTGGACGGTCAAAGCTAAACTAATTGGAGAACAACAAATTCAAATACTTTCTCAGTAATCCAAACAACCTAGAGGAATTTTAAACGGCCAAAGCTAAACTAATTGTTGGAGAACAACAAATTCAAACACTTTCTCAGTAATCAAATTTATTTGTTTAACACTCACTAAAAATTGAGTTTAAATGTATAATTATTTTAAATGGATATAAATGAGTGAAGCGAGTTAACCCACTACTCATAAATTAAATGAGTTTAATTGGATACCCATTTAGACCTATTCAAAATTAATGGGTGAACGGGTTATTGATGGGCGGGTTTGGACGAATCAACATAACTGCTTACATTTGTTTCAGATTTCAGCCAATCTATGATTTGCTTTGTTGCCAATTCTAAATAGACGTCAAAGAAAGTCACGTTTTCAAGACTTGCTAAAGGAACCATTGGCAACCAATGAAACGAGAATTTTTTGCAAATCAAACATTTGCAGGGGTTCTGGACTAACATTTAATCTTACGCTGAATGAATCATCAAGCTCTGGAGGTGCAGATATCGGACCCATAGAGCAGGTTTTAAGATAAGAATACAGATTTAAGGTCAAATCAGAGAGGATATCTTTGAAAAAAAAACTAGAAATTTCCTTCTTATTCACTTGTGAAAGTACAGAGCATATTGCTTCTGAACAAAGATTTTTTCTCAATCTAGTTACATCATTGACTAATCGAATATCGTGACTGGAAATTCTTCAGTGGTTCATGAGAAATTCAGAGGTACATATTTTAGACTTTTGCATAGATAAAAGATTCTTAGATCATTTCTCTGCATCCATTCTGCAAAATAATGAAAACTCCTCATTTTTGTGAGTTCTCAAACATACACATAGCCGAATTAACAATACTATAGCCTCCATCAACCACAAGGTTGTGCCCACTGACATATTTGGAGTCATCACTTGCCAAGTAAAGAGCTGCATCAGCTACATCTTCTGCCTTCAGCACTGCACCATCCAGATACGTATATACTTTAGAAACTCCACCATTGATTCTTTCTATGTAATCCACCGCCAAAGGCGTGGGAACAAAGTAGGGCGACAGACAGTTCACGCGAATGCCATATCGTCCGAGATCAACAGCAGTATTTCTTGTTAGGCCTACCACAGCATGCTTTGAACTCACGTAAGCATGAGGAGCAGCTCCAACTATGGTAGAACATACACTTGCTGTATTTATTATACTGCCACAGCGATTAGGGATCATCACTCTCGCAGCATGTTTTGCGCCTAAAAATACACCTACAAGGTTTACGCTGATTACGCGTTCAAAACCAGATTTTTTATCGTCAAGAATGTTGGATGTGCCTGATCCCGCTATACCAGCATTGTTGAACATGATGTCTAGCTTCCCATACTTAGAAACAGCAGTGTTCACTGCATTTTCTATATCAGATTCTTGAGTTGTATCACAGTGAACATGTGAAGCTGATGAAGGATCCAAATCTTGGCATACTTTCTTGGCCAAATCATCTTGAATGTCAGCAATGACTACTTTCGCTCCATGTTTGACAAAAAGTCTAGCGGTGGACTCGCCAATACCGCTAGCACCACCAGTTATCAGTGCAACCTTGCCTTGAAGCCTAGAGCAAGAAATACATGTCACTATTAGCAAATATCTTTAAAAACCCAGAAAATATTACAGAAAACAGAAAGAAGAAATTTCATGTTGGATTGATTATAAGTAAAACTTTACAAAGATGATCAAATTCAATTACTAGAAATGATTTGTAAGTGCTCACCTTTTCATAATATTTGAGGCGATTGCCATGTTTGCCATGGTACTAATGTCAGTGTTTGTCTATGTAGTACTAGTAATTCCCATATGCGCCATGATGATGAGGCTTATATAGTCACAAAACAATTGCAACAGGTATGTAAGCAGTCAGGAGATGGCAAAAGTAGTTATGGAATGGACGGCAAAGGCTAATTAAATTAATTCATTTTCAAATCTTCAACAGAAAGATGAATGTAGAAGTGTAATACGATTCCCTTTAGTCGACTGAAATCAAATCAAACACGTTTTTAGTCTATGCCAAACTAGAAATTGAACAAGGGAGTGGAAATTCGTGAGAATAAAATATGACATTGTGAGTGTGTCTCTGCATGAATATAGGAAAGATTTTCTTTAGACAAACACCCAAAAAATGTTGTAAAGTAGAAGTCTTGAAGGAGAGGGAGATCCTAGGGAAAGATTTTCTTTTGAAGAAAACGAAATACTAAATGAATAGATGGTTTTTAATTCTAGACAAGTGGTTGAAAAAGAAAAATACTGTGTGAACAAATAGTTGTTTAATTCTAAAGTGGTTCAATATTACTGTATAATAACAAAGGAATACAAATCTAATAGTAATTCAAAGCTAGAATTTTGGGTTAGGTTCAATTAAATTTGTATCCAATTAAGATGACTTCTCCACTTGTGCATTGTGTTAGTAAGGATTTCTAGGACAGTTTTTTTTTTCCTTTGCTAAAAAAATAAAAACTATTTGGTTAAGTAAATCAATTTATATATTAACCGAATAAATACAAGTCTGTGTTAACTTACTATGACGTGCAATGCATTTGCTTTTTTTCTAGTCAAATAAAAATGTCTTAGTCTACGCCAAATGAACACGATGTTAGGCTAATTTAACTTGCTCCTTAATGCCTTTGCCGATCTGGTCAGTGTATGTGGGCTGCTGATGCTAGGAAAATACGAAGAAGAAAGAAACAAATTAGACTAAAAAGTGAATCCAAATACTCGATACTCGAATTGACTTGTCTTGATAAGAGTTTGTTTGAGTTTGGTTCATCAACTAGTCAAATTAAAATTGAACAGTATTTTATGTTTGATAACATTCAAATTCAATATAAGAGGTCGTTCAAATTCGGTACTGCTAATAAATAAGGCGAGTTTGAATAAAATTTTAAACTCGATAAGCTAATCGAACAAGTTTGAACACTAAAGCGTTCGATTTGATTAGATTCATTTATACGCCTTCAATTAAGAAAATGTATGTTTAGTGCAATTGATATTTGTTTTTAGCCTTTTAGCGAACCTGATGTACTTGTTAGTGCAATTTGACATTTTCTTTTACGAAGTTTGATGCGTAATTTAAGGTAGCGGTGGTCTCGTACTCCCATACAAAGTTTGTGTACATGAACAAAATTCACAAGTGCCATAAGATAAAATTCACGAGTACCATATCGCACAATTAGACGTCAAAGCACAAACCGCAAGTGGCAAGTTTTTGAAGTCATTTTCACCCATTTTGGTCTTATTACGACAAGAATGTTTGACCTTTTGAGCCAAGTCCATAGCCAAAAGTCAGAGTTTATATCTACACTCTCTATAAAAGTATGAATAGGTAAGTGGAATCCAAACAATTTTTGTCTTAGTTTTGACCGTGCCCAAAGCACTCTTTTCTCAAATAATTTTGTGTTATTTTTCCTGTTTTGTTGTATAAATTTGAATTTACTTCAGATCTGAATTTATTTTAGATTTGGGTCTATGTCGACAGATTTCATCATATTTATTGGAACTTATAACTATTGATTAGCAAATCTGACGATTGCAACATGCACAGAGCGGGTTGGAGCGATTATTTTATGAGGAGATAATTTTAAAATTG